CCACATGTGTTAGTAGCATTAAAATGTAGGAAACAGAATATCTTAAAATGAAATGGAGATCTTCTTTATAGGGTAAAAACTCATTCAATTTTATATCTTACAGGGTTTATGCTGAGTTCAATATTGTATAACTGTATTAATTCAACTGTGAACCTAAAAATTTACAGCCACTTTTGAAAGAGATGTATCCTTGCTCTGGAGTGTGTTACTGAATATGTGAAAGCTGTTATGAAACGCTTCTTCTAATCATGTGGTTATTAAAGTTTTTAAAAATTTTTTAAAAAATCCTTCAAAGGATAAAAATTTGTTCCTTAGTAATTAGTAGATGTGAGAAACATGACCATTGAAATCTACCTGATGACTTTATAGCCATGCTCAGATGCCTAGAAGCTCAGAAAGTAACCAACTGTGACTAGTAATAATCAGATATTTAGAGATTAGAAATGCATGTGCAAACATCCAATGTCAATTGCATTGAAAAAGAATTTTTCTGTATGAAACTGTGTATTTTAATAATGAAATGGAGATCTTTTTAAAGGTTAAAAACTCATTCAATTTTATATCTTACAGGGTTTATACTGAGTTCAATATTGTATAACTGTATTAATTCAACTGTAAACCTAAAAATTTATAGCCAATCTTGAAACAGGTGTATCTTAGGTCTGGAAATTGTTATTGAATATGTCAATGCTGTTGTCATGAAATGCTTCTTCTAATTATATGGTTATTGAATAAATAATTTTTAAAAAGAATGATTAAGCTTATTTACTTATACAATGAAAGTTCACAAGACTGACAAATTACCTAACTGCCTTTTGTTCATGTTCTTTTCTTTTTTGGTCATATTCTTTTTTTCTTCTCACTATTTTTGCAGACCTGCTAATGTCTGCCTTCCTTTGTTGATTTGTGATGAGCAATAAACTCTGAAGCGCTTCTTTAATCATTTGTTTGAAAAAATATATATATACATATATAATAGGGGTGTGGTATTCTAGAATTTCATAAGTCTTATAATCCAACGGTCCCAAAACCTTCTGGCACTCTAATCACCTGAGAAACATCTGGAATGTATTCATCTCCAGAGATTCTGAATTAGAAAGCTGTGATGAGAGTTGTGTACTTGAGAAGATGCCAGAACCACTGGGACGTTGGTTAGTGGACCACCTGTCCTGCCTAAACTCCTTCTGTAATTGGTATAACATGAACTGTCACAGTGTTAAGGCCCAGGGGCCTATGCTGGCAGTGAGGATGCAGTGCTCCTAACTCCAGCCCACAGCCATCGTGGAGGGACTTCTTCAAACAAGTGCATTACTCACTCTTCCGTAGCTCCAGCCATCAGTATATCTTCTTTGTCTGTTTTAATGTCCAATTCTGGTTCTCCACTAAGCAGAAGCTTCAAATTATAGACAACCAGCAAAGTACCTGTGGAAAAGGTAGACGTTGTCTTGTCAGTATGTCAAGTGCACTAAATTCTAGGCATTGCTCTATCACCTCATCTATAGAATTCGGTCCACTAATGAGCAAATTTTCTTTTGTGCTTTAGTAAACGCACATGTTGAGGTAAAATGCAAGGCATGTGGCTAGAGAGATGGCTCAGCAGTTAAGAATACTTGCTGCTTTTGCAAAGGACCCAGATTTGGTTCCCAACACCTCATGTGACCCATAACCATCTGTAACTCCAGTTCCAATGCTCTTTCTGGCCTCCACAGGCACCCAGGCACACAGGTGGTGCACACACATACATGCAAATGTGACCTGTGGCTACCGCTTTTTGAATCCTGTCTAAGGCATGGTTAACAAAAAAGATCAAATTATTTATAAAACTGATTATTATATGAAGACAAATAGGATTTTGGGGGAAATTGAAAACTAATTATACCTTTTTTTTGGTAGGGGAGCACCATAGTGACTAAGAGAATGAACTCTGTAGTCATAGTGCCTGGATCTAAATCCTGGACCAACCACTGACTAGCGCAGTGACAGCAGGTAAATTTCGTAATCCTTCTAAACCTGTTTGCAGATGCCTGCACAAGACCTGCCTACGGACTCACAAACACAGGAAAGTAGGAGAGAATTAGCTGAGAAGAAGGGAGTCAGCAGGAATGTGAGGAGGGTCAGAGAAGGAAACTGGGGAAAGAATATGATCAAAACACCTTCTATATCTGTATAGAACTGACCAAAAAACTTTTTCTAAGCTACACAACGGAATTCATGAGCAATCCACAAAATAAACTTTTTGTTAATATTCACATGAGCACTTCTCAATAAGAAGTCAACTAAGAGATTAAATGTTCATTTAAATATATAATACAAATTTAAAACTATGTATTTGTGTGTATATGTTTGTATTTATGTATGCTGGAGAGTGGGGGGAACCACAAAACTAGAAAGGGAATCTTGAGAGGGGAGGAAGAGATCTTAAAAGAGGGGAGAAAATAGCATAATCGACTATAGATATAAATATATATAATAGGAAACTGAAGGGGGGACTAACTGAGGGAAGGAGGGAACCAGCTGGAGCAGGGAGAAGACTGTGGGAGAGCGGAATGAATGAGGGGAACGTATAATAACATATGAAAATTCTATAATGAAACCTACTGCTTTGCTAAACAAAAAAATTAAAAGATACATACCATATGTGATACGATAAATGCCAATTTATTGTCAGTATTGTTCCTCTCTAACAATGGGGGAAAAGTGACATCATTTTTTCAAACACACTGCCACAGCTTACAGAAGGGATCTTGGAGGTAAGGCAGGCCAAGTTACAAATAAACTTATGAAAATCACATTATGAACATTACATAAATCAAAACATTACAAAAACCAGGACACACGTAACTTTCTCTAAAATAGGCTTCTTTTTGTGTTTCTGATTATGAAAATGGTGAACATCTACAGAAAGAAACAAGGAAATGTCAGTAGACAGTGCCGTCTATAGCCAGGAAATGGAGTTTGAAAGAACAGAAGGAAAGACCTGCCAATCTGGGATAAGAATGTAGATGAACCTTCGCTTGCTCCCTCACAAACACAGGTGCATCACTTCATCAGGTCCTGGCTCTCTTAGCACCTTGGCAGCACAGACGCTTGGACGGTGCAGTGAACATCAAATGCTGCTTCTGGGGACACAGCCTGTGGCATCCTTTCCTCACTCAGTCTCACCAGGCTCATGGAAGCTCAAGCACCAACTTTTCACCTTGTGTCAGACACCTAAACTGACTCATGTTTGAATTCTTTTAAGACAAAAATCACAAGGATAAAATGAATGAATGCCCCCATGTGAGATTCCACCCAAGATTATTAGTGCATAATATATGAAAATAATGAGAGCCTTTCATAGACATGAAAATGAATACTTCTATTAGAATTTTAATTTAATGATCTTACCACATCTTCCATAGATCGAATCGAATTGCTGCATCAATTCAGCTTCATTTTTAAACGGGGAGTATTTATAAATTATAGACAATTCTGTGGAGAACTTTTGGGGGTCATCTGTGACAGACTCTCTTGTTCTTGTTAGCCATGAAGGTATTGGAACTACAACCTATAAAAATATCAATTTATTGTCACACACACACAAAAAACTTGTCTGATCACAATTCATTCTATTCTTCCAAATTACAAAACATAAAATTAATAGTTTATTTTCCTCCTAAAGTCTAAATTTGTAAGGAAAACACAGATAAATAAGTATACTTAGGGTTTTGTTTTAGAAGTTGCCATTGTCAGGGTCAATTAGATGGCTCAGCAGGTACAGGCACTTGCTGCATCGCACACGGCAGAAGGAGAGAACTGATTCCCTTACACATGTGTCGGCACACACACACACACACACACAAATGTAATACATCTTTATATTGAGCCTCCATTGTTGAATAGGGGACAGATGGAGTGTACCTAGGCTACCTCTTGAAAGATGGGTAGAATGGCAGAGGAAACAGCAGGATCAGCACTTCAGGAGATGAAAAGAAAATGACAACATACCGGGAAAGCAATCCAAAGCCTGTGCCAGAAGAGAAGGGAACCAGCTGACTTCCTGTTCAGACCGATTCATGAAAGTCAGAGAGGCATCTAGACCCCATCTGCTCCAGCAGCCCCCACACCTTGATCTCTGAGAAAAGGGGAAGGATGTGCTCCTGGAGTAAAAGCTGCCATCCAGGCACGCCATTAGAGGAACCTTACAGAGATTAGAAGGATGGAGTGAAAGTATACATATCAGCTGCTGAGAACCCAGGGGTCTTCTCTTATTTGTCTCCCAGAAAGCTGACAACTCAGCCTTCTGGCAAAGACTAGAGACTTCTCTTAGAAATCTGACCAACCCAGAAAGAATGACCGAAAATGACACTAAGAGCCCTCCCAATAAAGGCCGTCGGGATGACTCAGCGGTTAAGAGCACTGCTGCCCTTGCAGAGGACCAGAGTTCCCAGCATCCACAGTCAGGCAGCTCACAACTATGTGTACCTCAAGGGATCCAATGCCCTCTTCTGGCTTCTTCAGTCACCCATAAGCACATGAGCATCACACACACACACACACACACACACACACACACACAGCTAGCAGAGGAAGATGAAAATTTCAAGGGAAAAACTTGTTACAATCTTCAGAACTAAGTTGGTCATGGTGGCAAAGGCTTGTAGCCCAGGCTATTCAGGAGGTAAAAGCAGGAGGAACAAAAGTTCAAGGACAACTTTTGTCACTTAATGAGACCTTATCTCAAAATAAAACATTATGCTAAGGATGTAGCACAGCAATAGAGCATTTGCCTAGCATGTCTGAGGCCCTGGGCTCATCCCCCAGTATGGCTAAAAATGAAAAATGAAAAATATAAATAGTTCAAATAGTGTAAATAAAAAATTTCAGCATTCAGGAGGCAGAGGCAGGCAGCTCTCTGTGAATTCGAGGCCAGCCTGGTCTCCATAGCAAATCCAGGCCAGCTGTAGCTACAGGAAGACCCTGTCTCAAAAAGCGCCCCCCCCAAAAAAAATCAGATTTATAAGAAAAACACTGTGTCCTTGAATCAAGGATTGGGTTATCTTTGGAAAGGAACCACTGAGAGAATAAAGCTACTTCTTGGAAATTAAGAATATAGCTATAGGAAAAAATGCTATGAAAGACTTAGAAGAAAAATGTGTTGGAAAAGCTTCTAGAAAACAAACAAAAAATATGAAAGAAAAAATAAGAGAGAAAAGAAAAGGACCATTTTCACAACTCCAAGAGTTGAGAGCAGGAGTTATAAAAGGAGAGAATAGAAAATACGGATGAGAAAAAATCATCTGTTTATTAGAAAATTACCCCAGAACTGAAGATGTGAGTTTTCATAATGAAAGACACCACATGTGCCCAGTACAATGGGTATAAGCAGATCACACTGTGAAAATACTGAAATCAGAACATCAGGGCTGAAGAAGCCTCTTTTAATCTTCAAATGACAGAGGTGGGAGGGAGAGAGGAAGGAGAGGGTCATGATGTATAAGAAGGAGGAATAAAATTAAGTGGTTTAGATTTCTCAGTCACAACACTGGCAACTTGGTAACAGAGTGATGCCTTCGAAATCCTCAAAGAAAATGCACTTTGGCTGACAAATAATACGATCACCAAGTGTGAAGAAGAGTGAGAACATGTTCATGTATGTGGGGCTCTCCCGTGCCAGACTCAGGAAGCATGCATTGCACTAAGAGGGTGCAAGCTATGAAAGAACATGGGAGATTTAGGACCTGAGACCTGACACAGGAGGGGTCTGATGCACAGGGTGGGGGCAAGGCAGATCCCAGACAGCAGCTCAGCACCACCCACAGGAAGCAGGGCTGGGTGCCAAGCACGGAGAAGTCTCCAGGGTTTATTGGGAAGATGCAGCTAAGACTGCAGTTTGAGACTGGGGTTAACTAAGTGATACAAACATGGAAAACTGAGTGCATTATCAGTGACAGCAATAAGTACACAGAAAACTAGGCAGTCGATTATTCATTCTACAGAAATAAAAGCTACATGAAAGAAAAAAAGGGCAAAGTTGTTGGCATGCTCTAAAGTGACACAGTGTCATCTTAAAACATAAAGACTGGACACAGGCAGAGCCAAAATTTTGATTGAGCTGTGCTGAAAGTGGGACTGGAAAGCTGTGCGTGTGTGCAAGAACACAGAAAAAAAGCCTAAGTCCTCTTGTGCAGTGTGAGGTTAACAGAGACTGAATATCCAAGCAGCAGTGATACAAGCACACTTCTTAGACATCTGAAGGTAAATATCAAGCCAAAATAAAAAACGTGAATGGGGAATGTAGCCTCGGTGGATGTGGAAATGGAATGTGATTACTACTTATGAGTCTTTTTCAAGTATATGATACATTTAAGAAAAGCTATAACCTCAGCCTAAGACCATGCTCTTACACATACATAAAGTCCACCTTAACTGCTTATGGCACTGGCTTCCCACATGACCAGGGTCCCCTCAGCTAGTCCTCTTTGCCTAAAAGCTGCTCCTGTTGTCCAGTCCCACCCTCTGCAGCAGGCTTGCACTGCCATACTGTCCTTCTAAGCCCCCAAAACATCTACAGGCCTAAGTTTGGCAATGGGTCACCTCGATCCACAGTCCACCCAGTCCAGCTTGGAAGTCACATTGACTCCATAAAACCCTTGCTGGCCACTCGAATCTCACTAATCTCTCCCTCCATGGCACTGCTTTTGACAATTCAATGACGACAGACACACACACATTCACTGAGTACCATTCTTTTCCAACACTCTCATCTTGTTATTTACCCAATTTGTTTGTGCCTGCCTTATTCTATGACAAGGATGGAAGCTTTTTGATTGTTATATGGTCTTCAGATAGTTTTCTTCCCTCCACAGAGTTTAACTAATGCAGTAGTTCCTAACATGCATTGAATTAGAACTGACATTTATAACTGTAGAACTCAAACACTGAAAATTAATAAAATGTCTGCAGGTCAGCAAATAAAGTTGAAATTGTGGTTGCTAGAATTAACAGTGTAAGTCTATTTTGCATTCACTTCCTTTATATAATGTATTCTAAGTCTTTTACCTCAATATTCTATTTACTTAAAAATGATAACCATTTATGGCACAAGTGGTGAAAAGATTCTGCAGGCTTCTTCCATAAATATTACTGTGTCAAAAAGAACTTCTGATTTTGTGAGGTTTGGGACAAACAGAACAAAATACAGGTCTGAAAATGTGCACCCAGTGACCCTGGCGTGCACAGACACCTTCTATCCATTTCTCAAATTTATGCCCAAATTTCTAAATCATAATCTGAGAGGAGTTACAACAGACCTCTCCTCCTGAGAGGATAAGTGTAAACAACATTGTTGCCATGGAAACAGAAAAGCAGCCTAGTCTCTTACCTCAGTGAGACCTTCTCTTTCACAGAATGTTTGTGAAAAAAACAGGCAGGTCATGGTTTCTTCCTTCTTTGTAAAAAGAATAAAGTCTTTTCCAATTCTCATAGATCCGCTATGTTAAAAATGAAGAACATAATGATTTATACTCAATCACCAATAAAGAAGCAGCAAAGGGCATGACTTGTTTACTGTTAGGTCGTTCTTTCCTACACCCTGTCTTTGTGACTCATTCCCAAGTGGAGTTGTTGAATTTGAACAGAGCCAGCCTGTCGTCTTCTTAAAAAATATTTCATTTACTAATTTTATTTTATGTGTATGAGTGTATTGCCCGCACCTATGTAAGTGTATTCGTGTAGTGCAATGTCCCGTGGAGGTCAGAATAGAGTGTCGGATCCCTTGGAGCTGGAGTTATGGACAGGTGTTCGCAGCTACGTGGGTCCTGGGAACTGAACATGGGTCCTCTGCAAGAGCAGCCAGTGCTCTTAGCACATGAGCCAGCTCTCTAGGCTCCTCACCCCTGCCTGCTTTTGCTTGAGACACGACTGCTGAGGAAAAGTTCCATCCAGGACTCAAAAGAGCAATCACTGGGTCCTGAAAGGAACCACATATATTCTCATCTCTCAATGAGGAAGACTAATGAAAGATGCATACACTATACCAAAACTAAAACATGCTCTGATAAATAACAGAGCAGCAAAAATGCAATGAAACTCTACTGCTTTCAGGTACCCCCAAAAGATTCAACTTACTATGCATGGGGAAATAGATTTTTTAAAGATTTATTTATTTTTACTTTATGTGTATGAATATTTTGGTCACATGGATATGCATGGTATCATTCATGCCTGTTTCCCAGGGAGTCCAGAAGAGGGCATCAGAGCCCCTGGAACTTGAGTCAGGGACCATGTAGGTACTGGGAACCAAACCCAGATCCTCTGGAAGAGCAGCAAGTGCTCTTAACTGTGAAGCCATTTCTTCATGAGAATTTTTTTTTTTTTGATGTTGTAAAGATCTGAGGCAGTTATGGGTGTAACGATTCCAAAATAAGTTTAGACTTTTTGTAAAACTTTTCTTTGCACATGTTATGCAAGATTACTTCAATATTGTTATCAGTATCAGTAAATAATTTGTACCTCAGGGGAAACAATTCTCACCTTTTAAGTCCATTGCCATATTGTCCAATGAACTTGAAGGTTGACAGTCGTTTCTTGGATGTTCCAAAGTAAATGATGTCTGCAGCTTCCTCTGTAATTGACAATTTTTTAAGGTAATTAGGGAGAGTCTGACCCTGGCCTCAGGTCCAGTTGTCAGGACCTCGCCCATATCTCTGGACATTAGATATGGACAAGTCCATATCTTTTGAGACAGCCCACAGACAAGAACTGATGTCAGGACCCAGAATCCCTGAAAAGGATCTTCATGGTATTGTATTGAATGACGTCAGACCGAACTAACCATGTGACCCTTTATTTTTTACAATACATACAGATGTTCCTTGACCTCCATTAGCATATGTTCCAACATGATAAACTGAAAATATCAAAGTAGAAAATGCGCTTAATATGCCTAACCACTGGCCATCATTGCTTAGCCACAAAGAGCATGATGGAGTGTGCATCATTCACCTGGTGATCTGTGCAGGGCTCCAAGCTGGAATTGGCTGCAGTACCCCGCATCCCAAGAGGGTAACCCGGCACACACAGCTAGCCTGGTTAAAGATCACAACTCAAACTCAAACACAGAACCTACTGAGTACTTACTGCTCTGGCACCAAAATTTTTAAAAATCTTAAGTTCTTAGAGAAAAGCACCACCTGTTTATCAATTTCTTTCTGCAGATCTGAATCTTCATGACTTAATCGTCTTTCTATAAAGAATTCCCTTAGAATATTATATATATATATATGTATACATATCCTTCTGTTTATTTTGAGAATTCAGGAAAATGAACATCACATTTAGGCTAGAAGTGAATGAAACTGTCTTCACTGTGGTTTCCCTCTTTATCTTCTCAGGCTTAAATACTGAAGAATCGCTACTTTAATCAAAATGACCTGGAAAAATCAAAACTATCTGAGCAAAACTAGGTAGGATAGTGGAGCACGTTCTAAACTTGATAATAAATAGTCTCTGACTATTCAGAGCAAGAGGGGACGTCAGCACCAGTGGAAGATAATTGCTTTACTTGTGCTCTCCACCTCTCCTCACTGGTGGTCATCCTTTCCTTATATGCGCATCTGGCCAGAACATTTCTTTTTTTTTTTTTTCCTCGTGTCAAGTTTAATGACAGCCTCATTTGATAATAGAATTTTTCTTTTTTTAACTTTAAAAGAAAAAAAATTATTGAGACTTTCATACATGCGTATAAGGTGTTTTGATCAAACCCATGCCCACTCCCTCCCCTCCAACTCCTCCCATACCTCCCTATCACTTTCTTTTCTGGCAATTTCAGGTACTCTTTCTTTCTTTCTTTCTTTCTTTCTTTCTTTCTTTTCTTTCTTTCTCTTTTTTCTTTTTTTCTTTTTCTTTCTTCCTTTCTCTTTCTTTCTCTCTCTCTCTCTCTCTCTCTTTCTTTCCTTCCTTCCTTCCTTCCTTCCTTTTATTTTTAAATGGGGCTTTTTGCTACTCTAACATTCCCCCTTCTGAAGACGTAACCCTAAAGTCTTTTATGGATTAGATAAAAGCTCCTAAATACTTTTGACATTTTTGGCCTTTGGAACAGAGTATGTTGCTAAGAGGCCCAAGGACATTTTGACGTTTAGCCAAGGAACTAGCTATTTTCCTTTGAGGTCTTTTTACCTTAACTGCCTAGCCAATTCTTACCTCCTACTCTTATCACACCATCCTCTGAAGAGGTTGTGCAAATTGCAGATAGGGAGTTGGGATGCAGACCACTCTGGCTTCTTCCATGCTGAACAGGCATGCAGGGTGAGACAATTGGGGTACCCCTTCAGTGGGTCTATCTAAAAGACTCCCAAATTGCATAACTTTTTTTTGTTTGTTTGTTTTGTTTTTTGTCTTTTTGAGACAGGGTCTCCCTGTAGCCCCAGCTGTCCTGGAACTCACTATGTAGACCAGGCTGGCCTCAAGCTCACAAAGGTCTGCCTGCTTCTGCCTCTCAAGATAACTCTTATCCGTAGGGAGAAAAAAAAATCCTTAACTGGTGAATAGGAGATGTGAAGGAGAAGAAAAGGCAAGAGCAGTTAGCATTACAAGTTCTAGACAGGGAACTGGCAGGAACATTTCTATGGGCTTGGCCTCCATCACCATTTTTTAAATACAATGGTCAGAACCCTAGCTTACAAGACATAACATGTTATAAGAAGTCCAGATTATATCCAAAACAGCACAAAGCCCTGATCAGAGGCAGTAACATTTCAGTTTGAACTATGCACCCTTATGTGTTGACTTGGGGCTAACCCAAAGATAAATCGTGAGATACATACTAGATGTGTTAGTTATGAAGGGAATATTCATTTGAAGCGACTAAACCTTTGAACATGAAGAGGGGGAAAAACACAAACTGCTAAAAAAAAAAAAAAACAAGGAGAGACGTCTATCTCAAGGTTATACAGGAAATTAATAATAGCCTAAAGGCACTGGAAACTGCCTCAGGGCTCCTGCAAGTAATAGCTAGAAGACAGGCTTAAAAACACATCTCAGTCTATTCAGTTGCTATCTGTGTTCCATTCATTCCCAGGTGCTTTTGTCTTAAATCAGCATCATCTGTCTTTCATATTTTTTGACAATATGTATTTATATTCTTTTTGTGTTTTGGTTTGGATGGTTACAATGAATTTATTTTGCCAGCTAGAATATCTAAACCTATAGCATTCCACAACAAGTTGTCTGGGACTTATTTGCCTTAATTGATTCATATTTGTTTTTGGAATAGGTAGTTCAATTTATTTTTATTTATTTTATGGGTTTTCAGATGGTTTTCTTCCACAGCCAGTTAGATATCCAGATAATTAACTTACCAGGGCTCATGCCACATCCATCATCCAGGAAGCACAACATGAATCCTCCCTGCAGTTTTTCATTATCCACTGTAAAAGAAAGCAGTTATAACTAATAAATATTGGACTTAATTTATTTGTCAGAAAGGCATGCTGCTCAAATAATTATTTGCACTCCTCTATGGCAAGCATGGAGTGACAGGTATGGTACAGAGATGGGCTCAGACCCCAGTCCTGGCTACAGCTTCCTAAGAAAATGCAGGGGGCAAATATTACACAGCAAAATGGATTAAATTAACATGAAACATCTGCATGTGAATGAATTCTGCATATAACAGGACAAGTCCTGCTCTGGAACTGGATTGGTCCTTGAAATTTAGGAGCTTCTCCCCTAGAAGAAGGAAAAAAGGTAAGCAGTGAGAGGTGACCCCAGGATCTGTTTATCCAAACTGATCACCTGTTACGCCTTTCTACCAAAGCACTAATTTTAGAACAAATCTAGGTCATTCTTATTAATTCATCAGGCTCCCTTCTAAGTAGTTAATTCCCCTAAGAGTCTTCTCTGAGTATTTCTTTGTAGCAGCAAATATTTGCCACTTGAAGATGCATTTGATTTTTGAAAACAGTTGAGTCATTTGAAGTCAATTTTGATGATGTAGAGATACCAATAAGATACATAATATAATTTCTGGCTTAAAAATATTAAAGGTGTAACTAAAATTAATGAGATGAGACTGATCTTAGAGCACAGTTTATAAACTGACTTGAAAAATAATTTCAACAGCTGGATATATGAGCCTTATAATGTCTTAGAAAAACATTCCTTTTCCTAATAACAGTGCTATTAATGAATAATTTATGCACAATAAATTTCATATGTTTAAACTGTATAGTTTGATAAATGGTGATGTGTATGTGTGTATATGAAGCCATCACAATCAAAACAGAGAAAATGGTCAAGTACCCTCAATGTTTTCTTCTGACCTTCTGCAATCATACCCCTTTCCATGCCTTATCACCCCCACATTGTCCCCAGACAATCATTGATTTGCTTCCTGTTCCCATGAACTACTTTTTAGCACATTTATCTCAGCCTATCCATCCAAAGGTCGATTAGAATTCATATTTAAAAATAATGTTCAAGACATTCCACGAATAAATATTTTGAAGATATACCTAGTTGTACTAACCCATTTTCTGTTGCTATAATAAAATATTGAAGCTGGGTAACTTGTGATGAGATTTATTTATCTCCTGATTCTGCAGGTCCAGGAGCCGGGCACCAGTTCCTGCTCAACTCTGTACAGGCCTCATGGTATATGGCAGGAAGAGCACAAGCAGGAACACAGACCAGAGAGAGGATATGGCAAGTCAGGATGCCAGAGCCCAGAGTCAAATTCATGACAACCCACTCAGTGAGAAGGTAAGTTGCCCAAAGATCTAAACACCTCCCACTAGGCCCAACCTCTTAAAAGTTCCATCATCTCTTAACATCACTAAGTGAAGACCAAGCACCTAACACATGAAGGTTCAGAGGACAAACCACATTCAAACTACAAATTAATTTCTTGGGGTTTATAATATTTTGACCTTGTACACATACTAACAGCACCCCTTGGTTATTCTATGTTCAATCAGGTTGAGAAGTACCTGTTCCAAAACCAGGCTTAGCCTCAGCAGCTCTATACAGTGATATAGCTGATTTAAAGGCCTTTGAAGCTGGGTGCAGTGGCACATGCCTTTAATCCCAGCACTCAGAAGCTAGAAGCAGCAGATCTCTGTGAATTCCAAGCTAGCCTAGTCTACATAGCAAGTTCCAGGCCAGTTGGGGCTAGAAATAGACACTGTCTCAAAAAAATAAATAAATAAGATATAATAAAATATATATTCAGATATTGGAAAGACCATGATTCATAGCAGAGATACACTACAGACATATATTCAAACATATATCAGGGATTTGGGAATAAACAAATGTGACCTCCAAATCTAAACTGTAGTACTACCCACAAAGAGATAGCCAGATTTTACTTCCTTAATGCTACAGGTCTCCTCAGGTACCAGGTAGATTTCTATCACCTGCTAATCTCATATACGTGAAAGTCAAGACCATCATTCTCAGAGGACTTACTCCTTCCCCTAGTGTTTCCTGTTCAGTAAAGAGCACACCTTGGATTTGTCTTTGGCCATCCCAGTGAAACTTCATGACTATCAGTTCCCCACTTCTCCTCCCCACCACTGCACACACACACACACACACACACACACACACACACACACACACCCCTAATGTACAGATTTCATTCAGGAAATTATCATCTCTTTTCTGGATTCTCCCTAATTTCTTCTCTGTCCGCCCCCTCCATCACAGTGTGCAGCCAGTTTTCAGCCAGCTGTGCATGTCACCACTCCTGCTAAAACCCTGCCCTGACTTCTCACTGCTCTGGAGAGGTGGGGGAAGATCTAAGCTGCGTAACAAATCTTGCTTGTCCCTCATGCATTGGCTTCTCCAAGCTCAAGCCCTGTCATCCCCTCACATTGCTACACAAACACTTCCCCTGAACTAATCTTGAATACCTCAAACCTAGGTCCAGTTCTCTCTTCAGACTGAAGATACAGTTCACACTTCATGGTCCCCGTGCCTGATCCTCCAGCTTAGAGAAGTTCAAATGAAATTTCTTCTAGGAAGTATTCCCAATCCTTCCATGTCATTAGGTGTCCAGAATGCTTTCTTCCTAACTCCTGTTATTCCTGCTGTGATCAGCCTGACCCTGGGTTTGGACCCAAAGTCCATTTACTCTTCATAAAACTAGAGACTCCAACTTAATATTTATTAGTGGCAGAGACACATTCTTTCATTTATTTCTCAAACTCTGCAGAATAGGAACAGTAAGGACAAAGAGAATATCCTTAACTGTTTCAGATGTCTTGGGATTTCTATGTCTACGTCTCTCATGAACCCTAAGCACTCATTTGGCTCAGCATCTTATATGCTCAGAAAAGAGTAGTGAATTGAGCCGCTTTTAGCAGATGATGGATGAACATCATGGACAATATCTTTTCACCTGTGACCAATAACTGACAGAGCAGAGGACTGTATTGGAGCAGGAAGGCCCATTACCACTGTGTGATTCTCCAGGCGTTGACAATGGAACTGCATCACAGAAACTAATGTCATTAGCACCATAAGCTGCTGAGATTAACTAGTAAGTCACAAAACACTGAGAGACCACAAATGAAGCCAATAAAAAATAATTTTGCCACCCTAAGACATTTATTTATACCACACATTCACATATGTGTTTTTAAACTGTGACAAGTCGAAGATGACATGCGTTTAATTATGAATAGCCATTCAGTTAATGTGAATTGTTTTAAATAAAACTGCTCACAGAAAACAAATTCACTGCCACAAATGACTCTGATGTTTTCACAAAACTAGAAGACATCATTTTGTGAGTGGGTTCTTCAAGAAGTGAACAGTTTGAACCTCAGAGTGTGCTTTTCTCTAACTGACTCCCCACAGGACCACTGTATTCACAAAACACTTACAATGCATTAAAATCTATAAAATGTGGTGTGATTTGATGAAATAAAATAAAAGCAAAGTAGGTCTAAACTTTTCCATTATAAGAAAACAAATAAAAGGAAATATGTGCTTACCTGAAAACACGTCAAGTCTCTCAGCTCCTGCATCTCTGCAAACAATACAGAAATAATATTGCCTCAATGTGGAATTATGTTTTAAAAACTACATTAATCTTGATTGCTTATGTAAAATATAGCCTATTGTCAGATATCAAACAATACAGCAATCTACGTAATTTATGATCAACTTCTGAGATGTTTCGTTGTGCATTTATATACTAAGAACTATCATCACCCATAATTTGAGACTACTACAAAGACTAAAACTTAGAAACTTAAAAGACTATAAATGGAATTTAGTAGTAATTACAAAAAAAAAGAGGTTCAACAAAATGAGTATAAATACAGTATTTATATTTTTTTAAAGAGCTGGAGAATAATCCAATGCCATAGAATGATTGTCATGATGTATTTATGTTCAAAAAGTAAAAGAAAAAGGAAAGTACTATGTCATTTGTACTATATTATTATATTTTAGAAAACATATACAATATATATTCAAATAAGAACAATTTTGTGGCACTGGAGAGAAAGCTCAATGGCTAAGGGCACTGGCTGCTCTTGCAAAGGACCTGAGTTCAGTTCCCAGCACTCATATGGTGGCTAACACCTGTCATTAACTACAGTTCCAGAGGAACTGACGGCCTTTTCTGGTCTCCACAGGCGTTGCACACACAGGTGTACTTACACTCATGTAGGCAAAACACTCATACATGTAAAATAAAAATAAGTAATTTTTTTTTAATTTTTAAAAATGATTTATTTAATAACAACATACTTAGAAGAAGCATATCTTTACAACACAATTGACATATTCAATAATGGTTTCCTGAGGTAGGATGCATCTCTTTCAAAATTGGCTGTAAATTTTTAGGTTTACAGTTGAATTATTACAGTTATACAATATTGTACTCA